AGAAAGCCTTTTTTATATATATATATATATATATATATATATATATATATATATATATATATATATATATATATATATATATATATATATATATCTTTACAAAGGCCAGATCGGCTAAATACAAAATTTACAACGGCCAAAATGGCCTCGAAAAGACACAAAAGAAAGCAAGAATACAAAGGCCTAAGGGCTACTTTTACTTCGAGTTCGAAAAATCATTCTCACTCTACTACAAAGCCCAAGGGCTACCTTATCTTGAGTTCGAGTAAAGCCTCACTCGACTACAAAGCCCAAGGGCTACCTTATCTCGAGTTCGAGCAAGTTCTCACTCGACCATAAAGCCTAAGGGGTACTTTTACTTCGAGTTCGAGAAATCATTCCCACTCGACTACAAAGCCCAAGGGCTACCTTATCTCGAGTTCGAGCAAGTTCTCAATCGACCTTAAAGCCTAAGGGCTACTCTTACTTTGAGCTCGAGCAAATCCCCACTCGACTATAAAGCCTAAGGGCCATCCTGACTCGGGTTCGAGCAACCATTCTCACTCGGGGGCTATCTATTGAGCCCAAGGGCTACCACTACTTCGAGTTTGAGCAAATCCTCACTCGACTATAAAGCCTAAGGGCTACCCTAACTCGAGTTCGAGCAACCATTCTCACTCGGAGACTATCTATCAAACCCAAGGCCGCCTCGATTGAAGATCAAATTATTACCCCGAATCTGGTACTACGTATTAAGCTTAAGGGCTACCCTAATTCGAGTTCGAATATTCAGTCAGGGATTACCGATCAGAAACGGTTGAGGGCAGTACTTACTATCGGTCCTTACTATCTCAACCTTGGACCTTCGAATACAACTTCATAATTTTATGCTAAGGCACTTTGACCCTTGTATAAATTAACAAAAAGACAACAAATCCAGAAGGCATGGAAGGGAAAAAGTTTTATATATTCATCAAAACCTTTTTACAAGGGCAACACGGCCCGATGGAAGTTCTTTACAAAGGCCAAAGCGGCCTCAAAAGAAATACAAAAATTATTTAAAAGCCTAAGTGTCCTGGTTATCTCCGGGAGTGGCATCTCCACCCTCGGAGTCTTCTCCATTTTCGGATTCGCTCAAGCTTTCAGATTCGTCATCATCATCGGGATAAGCTAATTTCCTAGCTTCAGCTTCGAGCTCCTTAGCGTTCTTGATCTCAGTTGTAAGGTCAGAGCCCCAAGCATGGATTTCCTCAAGGGTCTCTCTTCGAGATTGACATTTGACGTGCTCAGCGACCCCCTCTGCTCGAATCTGAGCGGCCTTGGCAACCTCCTTTGCTCGAACTTGAGCGGCTACAGCATCGACCCGATAAATAGCTATCACTGCATCAGCATTAGCCTTGGTTGCCTTAACCTCCGATTTGGCCGCTTCAAGCTCCGTGACCAGGTTCTCCCGAACAGAAACTGCTGAACCCAACTGGGACTGGAGCTCCTCAATTTTCTTGGCCTGCACCAAGG